TGGCCGGAGGATTGTTCCTCACCCTCATAGTTGCTATCGTTTGTATGACAGGTGTATGTATTACCGATCGTTAATGCTAAAGTGAGAAGTTCCTTTCCTTGACAGACAACTGTTTTTCCTATCAGTCTTTTAATTAAATCTAGGATATCTGCAATGCCACAGTTGTGTTAACTTCTCGGTTCTCGTCTCCGTCAGATCCATTACGGAGAAACGCCGGGTAAACTCCTAAAGTAACGCATATATCAAAAGCGGCGACGTCGGGTCCAATGATGTTGATAAAGATGCTGAATTTAGTATGACCGTCAGTGGTTGAAAGGGGGTGCTCTATTAGATCTATCAGATTACAAAACACGAAGCTGAGCAACAGCGAGCCGGCAAGTAGCCACAGAAAAACCAAATAAAGGTTTGTAAAAATGCCAAGTGCCGTAATTTGCATTAGAATAATGTGAGAACTGACAAAAATCCTCAAAGAGAAAACGGAATGTACAGTCCAAGTTTATGAAGGTTTTTTCCATTAGTTAAATTGTAAGCTTACGGTGATAAAAATCAAACACAGCTAACACTCGTTTAGTATATTTGGTTTGGTGCTCAAAAAAAAAGAAAAAGAAAAAAAGGAGTGATGAAACGTAAAGATATATCCAAACTAGCATAATAGTTTAAAATCATACAACTCATGACGTTTTCAGAGGGACTGCGATCATGCTGGGGTCCATCAAGATCACGGTTAGCTTAACATGGTAGTCTCCGGTTACTGAAGTGAAGCAAGCCTCAGAAATTACATCGTCCGCCCTTTGAGTGAGCTGAACTAAGAGCGTGCTCTGATATCATTTCCGATGCGCTGAGTGGAAGGCCTCATCAGATACAGCAGCAGAGTTTTAGGGCCCTGTCATCTCGAGCAATCTACTTGTTCCTGTGAATTCGTCTGTCGTTCATTCATAAAACACACGCCTTGAGCAGTTTGTTTTCTAATTGTCACATAAAAGATGCAACTTGAATTGCAGAATATGTTCAATGTCAATGTGCAAACTTATCGAAGCAAATAGATACTCGTGCGCCACCAGAAGCTTTAATTACCAGAAAATATCTCTTTATCCAAAGAAGTGCTAAAATTGACCGTTCAGAGGCAAAGAACGAACGAATATCTTGCATTCAAGAACCAGACGATAGTTTCATCACGTTAGAATTGTTGTTCCGATTACATCGCTGCCATAAAATCGTGTAGCGTTGTATTGAAAATTGGAGGCGGTATTGGCAAAGTAGCGTATTATTTAGTCATGTTAGCACCATTTGGTCTGATGCAAATCTAAATTCTTTTCATGCCATCGCTTGCAATTTTTTCCCCTCAGTTTAACAGCGAGGCACCTCAACGATTCTACTTTACCTTGGGCGAGAACTTTACGATTCAAGCGGGGATTTTCTTCCCTTCCGGAACAACTTGCTGTTTCTTCAAAGGTAAGCTGTTGAAAAAAAGATGTTTGAAATCTTTGATGATGAAGACTGATAAGTTCATTCAAATTCCGAGGTTATGTGTTTCGAGGACATTTCTCAAGCTGCATTTAATTTATTTTGGGTAATTAAAAAGAGGACGCTCAATTATTTTGACAATGACTTACACTCTATGACTTGAAACATATTTATTTTTCACCTTTTGATAATTCGTTGAAAATGTGATTCTTCTTAATTTGTAATTTCACTAAGAAATTAATTTTTCTGTTTTTCTACCAATACTTCACACTCAGTAAAGTATTTCCCATGTCCAGTCCGTCCTACGACTATTTGTAACGCGATATCTTCCAATTTTGTATTTTATATCAAATTTTGATTTCTGCCTTTTTCATGTCTTCTTTTGATCGTCATAAAAACTGGAATTCTCTACAGTTTCACAAACAGTACAAAGAAAGCTACTAAAAGGCAAAGGTAAGTCACTTACGGTCTGTGGCAAATTGAAAGATCATGAACGGTAGTCATTGTCCCTTTCCGGATTAATGCTGTTACTTTCTGGGCTTTGCAAACTCTATTTCATTTTCATTTGTGTTAAGATTATTTGGCTTTCAGCAAACCAAATCCAGTAGAACTTAATGGCTACCAATTCCAGCAGCATTTCTCAAGTGCACCAGTGGTCGCGTCCATCTTCTACCTGTATTCCATGGCTTGTTGTGCTCAGCACTGAATGTCTGGCCATAGCCATCCTTAACATCGTCACGAGTACTGTATTTGTCAAGCAGCAGAGGCTACAACGCCGGAGTAAATATTTGATCATAAATCTGACCATAGTTGACTTGTTAGTCGGAGCAGTCTCAGGGCTGATGCAGATTCATTTATGCATGGTTTGGTGTCACGGAGAACTGGAAAGTTATGACGTAACTTATTTCAGAATAAGTCTAACAATAGGTCCTTTTTTCTCCGTTGCATCTCTTGTTAGTCTCAGTTTCATTTCGTTGGAACGAGCACACGCAACATATCGCCCTTTCAATCATCGTTTTAGCAAGATATGGGTTTA